GCCCTATGTAATGTCGTGCATTGAGAGACGATTTAGCATGTATCACATCTTTTTTTGCTGTAAGGTAGATTTTAAACTAACTGAATTAGTCGGCCAATAACTTATTTTGTTATTTCAGCACCCAGGCCAGATCATCTATGCCGAATTAGATCTTCTGTCTTCAAGTGCAGTCATCCCTACACCATTACCAGACCGTGGCGCGTATAGTGACATTGATTGCAAACAAACTTCAAGTCATGGTGACAATGTAGAGGCTATATATGAATCTGTTTTTATGGAATGATACACATTATATTTTTACTAATACATTTAGGTGCAAAGTAATACCGGCGAGATTCCTCGAAGCGATTAATCATTGTCTTTTCTGTTCATTATTATATCAACAAGTAAGCTAGGCAAATGAAATAACAAAAATGAATTCATGATATCAAGCGTTTTCACTCACGTGACAAGGCAGCCATATTAATGTACCAAACAMTAGAAGCTTTCTGCACCGCTTTTTGTATTAAAAAAAAGTTCCATTCCCTTTGTAACATTCACTTTGACGTCACATGAAAGCGCTCTATTAACGATTTAAAAGAAAACGTTAATGTATACCCGAATTCATATGATCGTTTGTTCTGTTTACAAATGATGTGATTGTCATTGTGATAAGAAATAATGTTAATGATGATGACGTCATTCTTATCTGCTCAGATAGATTTAACAGGAATGTTGAAAAGGTAAATTATACACAGTGAAAAGATGATAAAACTTCACGTCGGAGTACGAGAAAGGACTAGCGTCCGAAACGTCAGTAAGTTCTTTGGGTGAAACTATAAACAAAAAATCGCACGATCTTCTCGTACAATTTGGAATTAATAGACACTCGTAATGTCGCCTAAAGGCTCGTGCAATTACAAGAACTTTCAAAACATTACTCGTGTCTATTAATTTCCAAATTGTACTCGAGATTGTATATATATATACTTATCATTACTATTAAATAAATTCATATATTATCTAGATCAATATAGTATTAAATATTGGATACACATGGAAATAATCATGGTCCACTATAAATAAATTCATAAAAAAGCGACTGGCTGTCTCTCTGACTGACTGTTTGATTGAATATTTGATTTTGTTGTTTGTTTTTCATTTCATAAAATTCGTGTATACTTCGTTTGTTTGCTTGTTTGTTTTTATTATCGTTTAGTTGTTTTTTCTACTGTTCTTCATACCCAATTGGATTTACGTAGCGGGAGTTAGCAATGTTTCAATTATAGGTGGAGAGCCGGGCAATGTATCAATATCCCGCCAAATCGAAAAGACTCGCACGAAACAATTATATTTTAATTGGTTCCAAAAGAAAACTTGAGCGGTGGGGCAACGGGTGACACGCTAGTGTTACATAAAGATTACGCTCCATGTCAATTTCCTTTTTATGAAAGGGGGAGGGAGGTTGGCCGATATGACGTTCGCAGTTTTGGAAGTAATAACGTAAAAAAAAGTTTCTAACATTCAAAAGATTATAGATTCTAAATTCATAAGCATTATATTATTACAGCGGAGCTCCCGGGCGGAGACAAGGCCCTCGCGAGCGGAGCACGATAGGTATAGAATGTGGTAAACTATCGCATGGGAACCCTGTGCGTAACGCTAAGAGTGTCGCCCGCCCGGTGTAAATCGCGTTTCTGATTGGTCGAGCTTTCAAATACGTCACTTGGACGTCTTTTTTAATATTTTTTTATGTGTTTAAAATTGTAAAAACGAAGCAAAAAATCATGGAAGAAAAGAATTCAACACAGTGTGAAGATAAAGGTTAGGACATTTTAATTTTGTTTTATTTGTAGACAACATAGCTACAATTACCGGAAAACGAGCAACAAACTAGCATGATAAACGAGCAAAAAAAATATACTTGTTTTGTTATTATAGTAAGAGTAAGAGTAAGAGTAGGTACATGTTTTTAAAGTAGTCATTTGACAGGAAAAAAACGACAATAAGTGTAGTACCATAAGTATATATCATCGAGGGACCTTTTGAATTCCACACAAATGAAACAAATCCAAGAGGTGTGTGACAAAGTTTATAGCTATATAAAGTTGCTAAAATTAAGTCCAAAAAGTTGCTCAAAAAATCCAAAATTTGCTCAAAATTAATTTGTGTCCTTATTTGGCGTGATAATTTCTTTAAATTCATGTAAAAGTTAAAAAAAGAACGAAAGTTGCTCGAAAGTGAAAAAGTTGCTCGAAATCGGAAAAGTTGCCGAGCAACTTGTGGAGAGCCCTAACCTGGGCTAACTCCTTCGCCTTGTGCGGTGTTCAGGGACTCCTTCCTGTTCCAATGGAATGGAGATAGCAATTGATTGAATTTGGACACATATCCAACAAAATGTGTTCTATAATAAAAATCAAAATAATTTAATAGGTAGGTTTCTGTTTCAATTTACTCACAGACAAAGACACATCAAAAGAGACATCGTGGTAAGGTTATAGGGTCAAACGTGTTCCGTAGTTGAACAAAGACTTTGTTTGTGTATGTATTAAAAAAAGAAACTTGTACCAAAGCCTTGAATAACGACCTCAACTTAGAAAACGATCCAAATTTATAAGACTTTTAAATTGCAATTTGATTAATAAATGCATTTTTATGGTGCATGCCTGTATATATAAAGCCGTCATATTCTACAACCCTGACATTCGCTTGCCTTATCTTTAAGAATAAGAATTAAATTTCCATTTCAATAGAAAACATTGCACTGTTTACAGGTAGGGGACGACACAATAAGCTGTCTATAAATTAATAGGTTGAAAAAAGCTGGTGCGTTTGGTGTTTTTCAATATCAAAGTATTTCTCGACTTGTGGTAAAACATTATTGCGCTTCCAATTGGTTACCCTAAAGTAGTGACAACACCTTTAGCATCAGCATTATTACCAAATTTGGAGTTACCTAAATGGTAGTCCGCTCGGTCCTTGCGCCTGCGCGGGAGTTCCCAATATCTCAGTAAACCATTTCGTCTTAACAATGCCCTTCGTACTTCAACAATTTTACATTCTGCTGTTCTTAATTTTCGTGCAAATCGAACAACAAGGTAAGAATTGTCTTATTTGCTCTATCCAAATTATCTGTTAATGCTTTTCAATACATTTTTTTGTGGAATTGATACAAATGATCGAATGCAACGTATTCAACTCAATCGTTAGTGAAAGAGTATGTATTCTTAATAACCTACTAACGCCCAAAATATTCTCTTCGCATAATATGACAAAAATGAATAGGAGGAAAGCAACAAAAAAGCTCAAGGAACATGAAGGGCTTATAAATGACTGGCTTTCTTCCAAGCTTTGCTTAAATCTTAGACTAAGCAGCATGTGTATAGACACGTATCAAAATAAGTCTATTTCGTTTTATCAAACGGGCTTAAACGTCATTTTATATCGATTGACTACGTAGCTTAATTGCAAAATAGAGAAATTTAATACAGACCCGATTGAACCATGACGAGCTGGAGAGCCTATTTTACGGTAAACAGCAAACCAACTCATTCTCGCAAATAGATCGCTCGTCTATGCAAGTCTCAATAAGACGCCCAAAACATACTTGTCATATAATCACTTATATAATCAGAAACAATTTGATTGAAATAAACATTTATGAAACTATATCACTTAAACCCGCTCCCAAAAGTACAACACAAGCTAAGAACAGACGTATTACAAAACAGAAACAGAGTCACATCAATCACAAAACACAGTGATCTAAGTAAGCGTACAAATTATACAGGTATACGAGTACCTAAGTATAAATGCGCCTACAGATCTATCACAAAACACAGTGATCTAAGTAAGCATACAAATTATACAGGTATGCGAGTACCTAAGCATAAATGCGCCTACAGATTTATCACAAAACACAGTGATCTAAGTAAGCGTGCAAATTATACAGGTATACACACGAGTACCTAAGCATAAATGCTGCCTACAGATGTAATACATAACACGGACAGTGACCTAAGTAAGCATGCAAAAGTTATACAGGTATACAAGTACCTATCCTCCATCAGTTTGGATTTAGAAAGTTGTACTTTTATAAAATGTATATTATCGTCCCCTTTCTAATATCCATAAGGGAAGGTTTTTGTTCCCACCATATGATTGAAACATTATTTTTTTAAATATTAGAGTTAATTTTGTATTCAAAATGATTTGAGAAATAGTAATGTGCTGTAGCTACTGCTGTTACGTTTGAAAACCACCTAAAACGCAAAGAGTTATTATACATGAGAAGAAAACAAAAGAAAATTATTAGGGTGAAGAATGAATAATAGTTGGGTAGTATGGCCAAGTCCCGTTGAAAGATCAACGAAGCGTAAAGTTCAATTTCGAGTGGTCGAGTTGAAAATATAGCCTCGCATGACAAATGCACGGCGTTGAGTTCAATATCATCCTCGAGTTAAAATAAAAACTTGTGGAGTTCGTATTGTAAAACTTGAATGACAAATATCAAACACGAATGTCGAAACCTCGAAGAAGCATGTAAAATTCAAGATAGCGATATAAATAAATCTTCTTGGAGGTGAAATTCAATTGAAGGACTTCAAATACAAACCATGAATTTTGGCGGGGATGGAACGCCATAGGGTAGCTTACGATTTGAATTTCTACAGTAATCATCAATAATTTGAGTTATTGTTTTAAGTTATAGTTTTTACTTCAAAGATTGTTTCACTGTCTATCCAACCACGTACCTCGAAGTCGGTCAAAAAACTCAGCTCTGCTTTCTTTTTTCAACTCACTTCTTGGTGGTTTGGAAATTGAAAGAAGCACTCTTTTCCGTGCTTGACATATAACTACAAGTTGAATTCAAAATGCAAAAATAATCAATAAATTTAAATTTGACTATATTCATTTACGTCAATTCCTTACCAACCTTAATTTAGTCACCTTGTCATTCCTTTTCCATTTTATAACTGTTTAGGAATGTTTTTAAAACATTTTACTGTTCAATATGTAGAAAACGGCTAGGAAACTTTTTTGGTTTCCCTGGCTTCAGTCGTGTCCTTTAAACATCCTTGAAAGTGCTTCAAAAGTGATCAGAGTTCTAAAATTGGAAAGTAAAAATATTTATTAGTTCGGCCACAAGCTATGTAGCTGTGATTTGAATACAAACTTGTTAGTTGTGTGCCTGCATTACAAGCTTTATACTATATTAATGAATGTGTTACCTTCCTTATGTTTTGTCATCTACGGATTTATTTCATGTATTACATGAAGTCACAGGGAGAACAATTTGAATGAATCTGAAAAGTAAAATAAAATCGGGGGAAATTTTTCAATTTGTTTAAAATTACAGATGAAAATAACGTCTTCCATAATAAAAACCATGCAGTGAAATCGAA